TGGGAATTCCTGGTGGGGTTATTTCAGACAAAAAAATGTCAATTTTCACACCCGTTTTCAGACCTGGCCTCTAAGATATTATGTCATCATTACTTAGATAAGAACAGCAACAAAAAATATTTCTTAACAACCATTTCCAATTCGCATACTTCTCTCTCTTTCTTACTCACTTGGAATTGAAACGATAAATCCGGGGCGATAAATACGTTCATACACACCCGGAGCTCCCGCGAAAACCATACCCGACTCCAGACCAAAATGGGCAAAGTCTATACCCATTTTCAGACCAAAACGGCGCAAAAACCCTACCCTTCAGGGTGGCACATACCTCTATGGCTTATATAAGGGAGTACCCCCACCCTGTGCTATAACTGAGAGTGAAACGCACTGACCAGTCATCACCTGTCTGGAAGTTTATATCACACTAACCTTGACGACACCAAATAGATAGTTTACTACCGTTTATTTCCGAAGTTGAAACGCAAGTACAACTTGTGTTGTGAATGCTGTGACTTTTAAAACACTTAACAACAAAAGCAAAAGATTCAGAAAGCACAACTGATGATACTTTAACTACACATAGCTACACCACACTGGTTTCCATGAAACCCAAAATATACAGTTGTACCTCTCGTTGTGAAAATATCCATAATACAGACCTGGGGGGGAGGGGGGTACTCAACAAAGTTTTATACGGGGAGGGGAGGCTCTGCTCCGAGGTCCAACTGCCTTAACTGCTGTAAATGCATTGTCTTTAAAACAGGAATATATCACATAACCAGGAAATGTTCTCAACTTTTTCACAGCCATAAATTCTTCTATTAACCCTTTCAGGAGTTTTTACAGACAGAAAGACAGATTAACATACTTCAACTAGTTAAATCCCTACCCTTTCATATACCTGAGGCCTGGAAAAGGTACCCCTTTCGGGCAGAGCCTACCCATATAGGCCATTATAGCGAGTCCCCCCCCCCCCCCCCCCCCCCCCCCCCCCCCACACAAATTCACCACCACCCCCACCCCCCCACCGGCGCCTTCTCTCTTTCAATTTAGTGATACCCCGACACACAGGCGAGAAGAGTGGGGCGGTCCGAAGCATAATTTTTTTCCATTTCTTCCTTTTCTTT